TTGTGCGCGCGCACGAGAGCGAGCGAGCGAGCGAGAGAGAGAGAGAGAGAGAGAGAGAGGGAGGGAGAGAGAGAGAGAGCAGAGTGCGAAACGGCGTGTGCGGCAAAAAGCGCAGCTGCGAAGAACGGACCTATTGCGACGTTTGTTTACGAAGGGCGAAGCGCAAGATGTCGTATATCAAAAATATCTCGCATCGTGTCGCACCACGTAAAAAGAATACGGCGCGAGCGCGGGCGCGCTGCGGACTCGCGAGATGCGCGTCTCGCTCGCGTCGCCCCTCGGTACGCCCCTGATCTTCCACCCACCCATCCAGCGGCAGGGTCACCGCATGCACCCACACCCTTTCGCACGGGCTCACACACACACGCTCTCCCACTCTCGCGCGTCACGCGCAACACACACACACATACACACACACATAGCCCTCGTTCTTCGCTCTCCCCTTCTTGCTCACCGGGAGCTCGTTCGCTCACTCGTTCGCTCTCTCTCTCTCTCTCTCTCTCTCTCTCTCTCTCTCTCTCTCTCTCTCTCTCTCTCTCTCTCGCTCTCGCTCTCACGGTCGCAACACACCCTCGCGCTCGTGGTCGCGCGAATTGTACACACCGTGCAATACGCGCGTGCACGCGCACACAGAGACACGGGACTGCGCGCTCGTCGCGTGTGTACATGCGCACGCACACGTGTGGGTCACGTCGAGCACACTATGGCGGCGGCGGCGGCGGTCGTGCATCCAGGCGGCGGAATATAGGCGGACTGCCTGCCGGATGGACGGACGGCGCGGTGGAAGTCGGGCCGTTCCAGGTCGAAGCGACACGGCGATGATGACTGCGATCGATAATTTGAATCGATTAATAATAAGAGCGAGGCGCGGGAAAGAGCGGCCGCGCGCGCGTGCGCGCGCGCACGAGCGAGCGCCGCGCGCGAGGGAGGGAGGGAGAGAGAGACGCAAGCGGAACGAGCGAGCGAGTGGGAGAGAGAAAGATCGATCGACCGCTCTGGACCGCCCGCGATATTGGCCCCCGTGGCCTTTCTTGCTTTTTTCCTCTCTTTTTCATTCGCGAAGCGGGCACGTATGGTACCGCGGACACACGGTTTATTTTGGTTACACGAGGTACCGGCGGCGTGTCCCGCGGAACGGAATCGGAAATCAACTTTCGGGGGAATAATAATTTAGAACCGCGCGTTCGAGTGCGAGATCGATCGCGAGATCCACGGCGAGCGGACGACGCGCGCGGCGTCGCGCCGCGCCGCGCCGTGAATGCGACCCGCGCGCGCGCCGCGACGACGACGCGGGGTATTAATTGTTTATCGATGTTGCCGGGATTACATCGCGGCCAGGACGGAGAAAAATGTAGGTTCTATTAAGAACCGACCGACCTTCCCCGTTCGGCGGTAGCCTATATCGACGGCATTCGTTCGTCCGGTTTGTTCCAGTTGCAGTTTCCGTGCAACTCCTTTTGTCCCTTCTCTCTTTATTATTTATCTCTTCCTTCTCGCGAGCGTTACTACGACGACGACCTTTCGTTCGGCGTCCCTCAGCCCTTTAACCTGACCGCGTACGTACGTGATAAAAGACGACGATCGGATCGATGCGTGCGGAGACCTCTCGCGGAGACTCGCAATCTGCGAGCCTCGACGACGCCTCGTGGACGTTTGTATGCGACGAGAGACGCGCAGCGAGCGTATAAATCGAGGAGCGGTTTCGCCGCGGAACCGCGCGGCGCTCGCCGGCTCGGATCGGCGATTTCCGCGGACGAGCGACTCCCCCGTCTGCCGCAGGTGCTGACATTCGAAACTCGTGACATCGTCGATATAATCGCGAGCCCGCGCGCGGCCTTGGAATACATTGACC